AATGTCAAGCGACTGTTGTAGCAAGGTGGGGAGGGCCAAGAATTTGGGGGTTGGAAACAGGGGGATGAAAGTGAAACTGGAACGGGATGGTAAGAGTGAAAAAGCGTAAGAGGGGGAATAAGAAGACGGGAATACTTGAGAAGTAGCATCCAAACCCCTATCCTCTCTGCTCGATGAAGCAGATAGGGCACCGTTGATTATCCTTTGCATTGACCAGAGTATCAAGAAATTTGTTTGAAGAGCGATTCATTGTATTGCGTGGGCAGGATACTGTCAGGTTGCCCAGGCCTAGACTGGAGAACGATTAGGGTTCTCAACCAAAGCCTTTGGTTCAAAAACCTGTCCGCAAGGCTGTGGGTTTGGCACTGGGCTACAAGGCGTCCGTTTTAAGGAATAAAGAGCCACCCTCATTCCAACCCCCAACCTGGAGGACCAGGAGGCTGAGTTTGTCTAGACTCTAACCATTGACCGATCTGGTATGAGTGGCTCTGATGGTGCAAAAATGCACCACCCAGTATAGCTCAATGGATTTCTGAGGCAAACAAACCATCGCACCACGGTAAGGACCAGTCTACTTGCGATGGTACGACATAGTGCCAAATCGTGATTTTAATTGAAACTGGACTGTTGGATAGCTTGTGTGCAAATCCTTGTGCAGAGAGGTTCTTGGCGTTAAAGCCTGATAACTGGTTCTGTCATCCTTGCACATGGCGATTACTTGGTTCCTTGTGAGTTGTAAAGAATAACTTAATGTTTTATTTCTCGACGGTGCTGGAAACTATTCCCACACACGGGAAGATCAGGGTACGCAGATCTACTCCATAAATCCCCACAACATATGCGATGGAAATAGGTATACTATTAGGTTCATTACAGTTTCACATATGCGCGTTGTTCAGGGAAAAGTATATAGGTTCTGGGGTTAAATGTGCTGTGGTTACATTCTCCGATAACTGCTGACCCGTCTATCTGCACCAGCACAGGCTGATCAGAAATCGGATATGGGACTATAGTGGCCAGCAGCTGTCAACTCTCGTACTCCCTTTCGTAATGGGTCGACGAACTTTGTGAGACTTATCGAGACATTAGCCTTCTTTCCACTGCCTCCAAACTCCTCAAGGGTCTTTCTTTTCACCCATTTATTGATCTTCGTGAAAGCCGAATTAGTAAAGACAGTCCAAAATATATATAGCATAGGCTTACTTTGGGAAGAGCGGACGACCGACTGATGAAACCATTGGTTCTATTAGCTTTGCTATCTTATAAATATATTTTCAGATAAGTTAAACGTAATCGAGTACGGCACAGGCAGTTTTTGGAAAGAAGTAAATTGCATAAGTTGTTCAACATGAGAAATGAGTGATGCGAATAGGTTGTGGCTTTGTTAAGAACAAGGGCTATTCTTCACACATGACACCAATGTTCTAAGGATGAAGGATCATTTTTACTTCATCGTAGTTCCTTGCCTGATTCATTCTTCTCGAGAAAGTGGATGATTATTATATCATTCTCTTACATAAATGCAGGCTCACGTTTGATAGTTTAAATGTGTCCTTAATGTTTATAAGGAAAACAGAGGTGACTTCGGTGGGTTCTGAGATGGTGCTAATTTTTCCTCGCTCGTTTTCTACCACATGAATCTGATTTTAGCCATGTTAACAAGGAGTTTCTAATGTCAACGTATCCTGTTTTTGTCAATAATTTTGCGTACGGCACCGGATCAAAGCCTTTATTCAAGTCAAGAAAACTTTGACATTTACTTTTCTTAAGCCAGTGATTGTCATCACATTGTTGTGAAAATCTGATTCACGAGTCACGCATTATCGTGCCTCACGCCTGTCAGGAATCGCGAGAATGATATTCATGAAGTGAAAGGAAGCGTAAAGGAGTAAGCGATCACTGGCGTCGACGTCATTTGGACAGAGGATGCTCTGCGACTAAACATTTCATGTGCTCAGCTCTAAAGTTTGATTGAGTAGACTGACTCACAAGGCAATGGGGAGCTGGTCCAGCTCAGAATTGTGACTGTGCACTGTCATTGTTGTATATAACACGCATGTGACCGCGGCCAGCCGATGGTGTGCTGCCTAGGATGCATAGCTGTAAATGTGCTTAGGAAGTGGCTCCTCTCGTTGATCACTGAATTCTGAAAGTAGGCAGACCATCCAGCCATACTAATGTCAGGTTATCTCACAGTAACCCACCTTTTGGATGTGGAACATCAGGAACTCGCCAATCGTTAATTTCTTGCCTTTTCCTCTATTGGAAAATAACAAACATCTTGTCCTTTTACTATGGATTTCACGTTCTATACTTGGCTGTTGGTGGTGTGACCATTGAGTTCGCTGAGCATTTTGTTGCTGAAGTAGGCTAGCTACGAGCCCTTAAATATCAGCAGTAGTCTGTACAATAGACATGGTATGAATGGATCTAGTGGGTATATATATATATATATATATATATATATATATATTTGCAAGTCTGTTAACAGACATAATGCCATCAGAAACCATGGGATTCAAACGAAGGTACAGAAACAGTAAAATAAAACAACAATAACAATGTCCATGGTTTCCTCAGAGGGCGAGATACTACCCGGTTGCCCAAGCCGAAGTAGGGTGTTGACTTAGGGGACACCACCCCGAACCTTTGGCTGAATAGCCTGCCCGCAAGGCAGCGGAGCGAATTCAGGGAATCGCGCCCATTGGGAGCCGGTGACTGATTGCTCAGTTCTTACGCCTTTTGTTTGTTCCTTTGTCAAACAGGGGCCCAATGCTCCCCAGAAGTACAGCATAAGGTTGCTGGAATACAATGCTTCGCCAGAATGAAGCAAGGGGCAGTGACTTTATTTAGTGGCGAGTCACATCCGCCACGTCACAGTGTTGTTAAACGGACATCTGTGGCTTTTTATAGGGAGAACGCTTGCCAGGCGAAAACCCACCACGTCCTGGAACACTGCCGCCGAACCATTTGCTGGAACGGGAAAATCCCGAACCACCCAGCTGGCACCACGAGGAGGTTGTTCGGCAAGCCAGCCTAGTGGGTACAAGGATCGAAAAGATGGATAATACACAAAGATAATTTTTTGTTTAATTAGTGATAATTCACCACAGTCCACTCCCAGTCAGCAGACTGTCAAGTCTGGAAAAGCACCAGACTGCGCTGTTTCGGCCTTCTGGGTCTCGTCAGTGGTGCACCTTCCATCGGCCCCCTGCCGGGTTCTGACCCAAGCACTTCCGCATGCCAGCAGCTAGTGCCACTAAGCTAGCTCGCAGCGCTGTCAGCAAATAATGAAGGGTTTGGAGTAAATGAGAATATCCGTAGCTCGGGGTGTGGATGCGGATTTTGAGCGGTTCTCCGAGCTGAGTGATTATTGTCCAGAGGTTTCACTGCCAAGCTGCGCAACATCCTCAGTGCGAGTTATATAATAAAGACGGCAAGGAAATGTAAGATATTCAGTTCAGCAGTTAATTCAGCTCCTGAATGTGATAGATAGTGGTGGGCTGTCCAATCATCGTGGTACCAAATAAGTAGGAAACATATACCACTTCTAAATAGATTGTAGCAAAGTTACACCATTGCATCAGGAATACACAATATCAGTTAATTAAGAATTCACACCTTACTTCGTAGGTTCAATCACCAAGCGGTTTCGAACGAACTGCACGATCTTTGGGTCGTCATCGCGCGAAGCAATATCATCAGCGGGGTCCAAGTTAGTCGCGCAGTGTCTTGGGTACCTTCCTGAACGTTTAATAGGACATCTTTAATCACATGGGACATCCCTTTCGCACACCGTTAGTAACGGCGCAAGGTGAAGAGAGCTTACCCTGAGTCCTCACTCTGCCAGAGACTTTGTTTTATAAAGCCCAAAGTATGGCGGTGTACTTTTCGGGCACCGCATTCCTTTGCAGAGAACGCTATTGAGCAGGCCGGTCGACCGGATGGAATGCAGATTGGATGTCCGAAATGACGGCAATGATAGGCTGGGGATAAAAGTGGCGCTATTCGAGGAGTTGGCGAAGCGTAAACATGTGGTCCACACACCCTGGACCGATGCGGAAACCAACCTGTTTCTCACAGGAGTGTAGTTATCGAATCTGTGCTAACCTGCACAGTGAAGCGGTTATACTTAGGATGCACACTTCGATCGGAAGGCAAATGGTAGTATTCCATTGAATGCATGATGGTAAGTAGGAAGATGATCTCAATCTCTTTAGGAGGATAAAATTCATGCTCATTACTACGGAACCATAGATGGTTGCACACGCGGCATTGTGCTTCGATAGCATGTATGAAGTGTTTTTGCTCTGCGATGCGCGCTTATTTGTTTCATGAATACGGTCACTGTCGAAATGTTCGTCTGCCGTCGGTAAGGGAATTATTTTTCATGCACTCCGCAGGATAGACGGCTCTTCGATGTTCTTCGACAATCCAGTTTTATGCAGCAGTTTGCTCTCGATTAGCTATCGGTATTGGACATCCCGTGCACAGTTATCCGTTTCTGCGAGTGGCCAAGTTGTGGGTTCAGTTAATTACCGATGTGGCTTCACTCAAATCGCTTTCTACGATTTTTCTTTGTGCCTCAAACTTCCGCCAAAGTGTCCGTTATCTCTTGGTAACGGCCTGTCTTTAGGCATATGGATCACAGGTCTGTTTTTTTATTCGAAGGTGCAAGTTCGAACCTGCGTACTGACCTGGCAACCCCTACAATATTCTCAACCCACTTCCGATTGTCTGTTAGTGGCTGCACATCAACGAAATTCCGATACTGCGTACCGGCGTACTGCTGATATCATTTTCCTCTCTCTTTTAACGACGATTCTACCAGGTCGTTTGCAAACCATAAATTCTACGCAATAAATCGTTCAGCTCTCGGATTTCGTACCCTCGACTTGGGGCCCCCGTAGGCTATCAGTGCATAATTTCACTTCCTTTTTCCTGGATATTTTCCACGTTTGATCCATCTGTAACTAGTCGCTTTCGGTTTTCTGTTGCAGGACAATCCCCATTTCTATGCGAACATTGTGGCGCAACCTTTACTACGAAAGGCAGTATGCAAAGGCATATCCAATGTACTCACTTTGGTGAGTGTATTAATAATAACGTTGTTTTTATTCTGAATTCACTGTTTTGGGTTCACTATCGTTAATGATGTCAGTTTGACTCTGCCTCGCAATGAATGTTCCATGGGCCTTTATTGTATTATCAAAGTTAATGACAAAACAGTTATATCCAACTCCCTTGTTTCCTGAAGAGTAGATTCCAACAAAGCACTTTAGCAAAGTGACAGTACTTACAACTAGTCCTTTCAAATGAAGAATAACAGCGGTTTGATAGATGTGTGTTCTTCCGCTTTCATTTTAACTCTACAATGTTCATTGAAAGACTGAGTCAATACTGCCGGGAACTTCGATTTCCTTGAAAACCTGTGATGCCTAAAGGTTACCGGTTACCGCGTAGCGTATTCTCATGTTACCCTGTCGTTCGCATCAGTGTAGCCCGCATTGTCCCTCTGTCTCAACCACACGGGCCTTTATTCTCATGTAGCAACCTTAGTTTACGGAGGACAGAAATACAGCAACCTTTCTACTCAGGCTGCGTTGAATACGATGCAACCGAGTGCGTAACCGTCGACGATCCAGAAGCTCACACGGTGAGTGATCAATGGTAATGTATGCTTAACTGCAGTACTGTATTGTGGCTTGGAACCTCCAGAAACTGAAGTATACTGAGAGCAGCAGCGTGTATGTCCTCCTTGCCAGGGAGTAATTTCAAACTTCCAACACGACCGCCTCTTGATTTCGCCGAGGTAGCATAAACTAGGCACATTGACACATCTCGGTACCCGAGCGGAGTTCTCTGCCACACCTCCGATTGGATCCTCCTCCGATCTGTAAACCTTACGATAACGACCAAGTTAACGTTACGTTAAGCACAGTTGCTTTGAAGCATATGATTTTGACGCGTCAGTGGCACAGAGCGCTTTCCGAATTCTGCACATCCCGAACCACTATTGGTACCATTCGATCGTGGACCAATTTAGCATTTAAACCATTCGTAATCGAGGATACTTAAGTTTACAGAACCGGAGTTAAACGGTCCTGTATATCAGCGAAGGCGATATTCAAGGTGCCCACCGTCGTTCTGAATGCAGTGAAGAAAACGCTTGCTGCAGTTTTCAAGCGCTTTCTCCAATATCCCGGTCGTGATGGCGCGACACTCGTTCACAATCTTATTTCTCAATTGCTTCATTGAAACCGGCCTACTTTTATAAACCCTTCGTTACGAATAGCCTCGTGGAAAGAAAATCTTACGGATACAATTCTGGTGGCCGCTTCCGCTTCATTGGTCCTCTCGGCCGCTCCAACAATGATCGTATTGTTCGCTGAGTTATTCAGAAACCGTTTGAGCGTAACCTGTTGGTGCATAATCCTGTTGCCACCAAATGGTACCGCATACCTCCTCGACTTCTAATTGCAGAAGTATGTAGGTTTGGAGCATTTCCTTGTACGACGATGCTATGAAAACTAGGGAATAATTGCTACAAAACAACAATTTACCAGTTCCGGAGTACAAAAACGGTCCAACGATTTTCCGACCAGTTACTCCAGCCCAAACCATGAGCTTTGCGTATGTTGAATACGCTTGGTCTTGTATCGGCTTGGGTTAGATGTAGCCAAAATGGCTGTCTATCCGTTCCAAACAAATAAAAATTGCCTCATCAGTCAAACTTGTTAATGAAAGCTCATGTGATTAAAATAAACAACGGCAAAATGCCTACTGTTTATCCGGATCGTTGGGGTTCGAAATCTGAACTTGTAGTGCCCCAAATCTATGAAAATTTTACTTCCTGTAAAATCCCGTGAACCGCATATCTTTTGGTGTCACAATGCTGCGCGCTTCTACGTATGCTGAGCTCGTTCCTTTTGGATACTTCGCAAATAACAACATAAGCTCAGAAGTCATCTGTGATGATGCAGGGCCGTTTGCCTTTTCTGGCGTTGTACACACTCCCAATACTATGTAACTTTTCCACCGTTAACAGGCTGCATTTCAGCGTTGATAGTACATTGTCGAGCAGTTTCTGCAGCGTTGGGTCTGCACTCACCATACTACCAAAGAAGAAGCACACACTGATCATCAGCCACGTAACGTAATTCAGATTGGAGATAAGTCGCCGACGAAGATGTTTACTCTTGCTCCATTGCTGAGATAGTAATCAAATAATAATAATCTTACACCACCCATTGCTAGCCAGCTTGACCCAACAACATCCCGTCCGCATTCGCTGCCAGATAAGCTTCTCTTGTGCCCTGGCTTAGTTTGCCCTGAACGAACGATAGTCAGTATGCCGCACTGCGACCGAAGCTATCGATTGCTCGATTTGCTCATCTGGTCTCTCTGTGCCCATCTCTCGACGAACTGACTCTGTTGCAGGGATGCCATGCATGCCTTCTAAGGGTAGACCGAAATCCATAGCTTCGCACTCGATTGTGCGCACCCCAAACGCAAGTGCATGCCTGCGCGCATTTACTGCCCAGTATAAATTGGCCATTTTATAGCCGGACAAGTGTTACAGATGCTGCGGTTACCTGTATGCGTGCAAGTGCGTCATGGAAAGGTACGAGCCATGGCAGAATTACGGGGATCGGTTCAAACGTACCGCATACACTGTAGATGAACAAACAGAGGCATGGCATCTGGACTGTAATCCAACCCTCTACTTGGAGCTACCGTCCAGCAATGCTGCCTGCGTGATGGAAATCTGAGGAGATCGGAATATGTGAGTATATTATAATTCCGCAACTCCTTCAGGTCCAAGAAAATTTAATGGATTGCTAAACATCATTGAAGCATTCACAATTCACTGACTGACTTTCTCGCCAGACATTAACTGCTCTCCTCCATCCTCTTTTGGAGTCGATGATTTGATGTGGTTAGGAGTGCCTGAGCCAAGTGGGCTTGGTAAGCCACCAGCGTTGCCACGTGGAGCCAGCATCCTAAAGACGACGGGTCAGATGATTATTTAGACATAGTTTGCGCAGCGATTGCTAAGTGCACTGCATCCGCATCCCTTCGATTCCTAGGTCAATCAGTTCCCAGGTCAATCAGTCGGTTGATGTGGTACATGTGTCGCATTATCGTTGCAGTTGCTCTTTACTTGTCTGCGTGTTGAGTTTCTTGCGTTTCATGGGTTGCTTGTTGATTGATGTACCCGGTGTGGTTGTGCTTGTAGTGAATGTTGACAAGGTGCCTATTTGCCTATCACCCGTTATGTCGTCTACTCTGTCTCCTAAAGACAGTTGGTCGTTGCTGGAGTGGACTACGTGTACCGTCCTCGTGGCCATGTTAGGTTCAAAGAGCGGTTCCATGCATCCAATGTGGGACGGGCTACAGTCAAGCCACTGCTTTGTGTACATCTGTTACGCATGATTTTCCACTTAAACATGAGTGCTTCCGCTCTGCTTGTTGAAAGAGTGTTGCTACTGTGCATGTTGAAGGAGTTGCGGCCGGCGCAATCGATAAATGGTGGTTCCCATCCACATGTATCCTGGTCATAGTCCTTTCGCGTTTACACTCTATATGAGGTGTTAACGGAGCTATGGCTACTACGACGCATGCCACTCATGGTCCCTCTGTAGGCACAGGCGTCCTGTGCCTGTCATGTATGGGCAGCAGTGACAGGCAAATCTAAAACCGGATGCCACAAATTATTACTCTGCAACGTGTGTCTGTACCCATCTACCAATTCGTCCATTATTCGGCATCCCGTCGCAGCGAAACTTGACCTTATCGTGGCTCGACCGTTTGCTCCCCTCTTCGACTATTGTGCTATACTGGGCGGTGCTCCTGCACCCTCAAAAATCTACTTCTGTCAGGGTAGAGGTCAGACCAACTTTGTTTACTGGTCCTGTAAGTTGTGGGTTGAAATTATGTTATTCATTATTGCAAAAACAACTCGTTGCTACCTCACCGATGTTTTGCGGACAGGCCTTTAAGCCGAAGACTTTGGTTGGGGACCCTACTCGTTCTCCTGTCTAGGTCTGTGTCGTAACACAACTTTTCGATGGTCGCCTTATTTGCTACGGCATGTAAGCGCAAATATGCTACTGCTTGCTTCTCCCTTTGTTCTTTCCCAACTGTTTCTCGCACTCCCCTCCCTGCCATCATTACTAACCTTCCTTCTAGAATTCCCGGCTGGCTTGACAGCAGCTGCAATACCATTTGCATCTATCTGCATTCGCTTCTAATAAAGCCGCGATGGCGGCATTCAACTTTCACATTCTAAAACAAATAAGTCAAAATGGCTGTCCTCGCACACACGTTGTACACTTTGGATATTGTTGCTTGTCCGAAGCGGGAATCATTGACTCTCACGTGCTAGTTGAACTAACTGGGTCCTGCTTGTCTTATCGCTATTGGTTGCACGCATTCGGAAAAGCTGCTGCGGCAACGACTGGTCATCGTTCTCAACTCAAATGCTGACTTCTCGTTGGTTGTTTGATTTCCCTTGAACAGCCGTTTGTGTGCAACCTGTTCGACGACATCAAATAAGTTTGATTCATGAAGTTATCCTACACTGGTTGCTTGTACTTTCCACTTATGCTCCCACTCGCTGCAGTTCGGATGCTGCCAGGGGCGTTTTGTACCAAGAACTGAACATACTACTAGGTAGTATTACTACTACTACTCGTTCAAAATTGTTGTTGCTGCAGGGGATATGAATGAGCAATTAGGTCGTATAATTCTTCAGAAGCTCTGCTAGGTGGTAAATATGGACTTAACTCCGACCGTGCGGACCACGGCGAGCATCTGTTACAACTGTGTGCGGAGCATCAACTGTTTCTAAGTGGCACCGTTCTTAGGCACATTGTGCCAGTGTGCCAGTTGGCGTTCCATATAGCTGATTAGCAATAGACCCAAATAAATAACTTTGCCATAAGTTACAGGTGGCGTGGTTCCTTCCTAACTTGTCGCTCGTTCTGGTATACCTCTGTCGACTGTGTTCATGCTTTGGTCGTTTCTCCATAAATTTTGCTGTGGGGGGGGGGAACCAAGCGCCTCCCTCAATTGGCAACTGATGAGTTATCCAAGTCTTTGGTCAGGCGAGCTTACCATGATGCCCTGCGTACCGAGCTTTAAGTCTGTCGGCATAATGACACTGCGTTTCAGTGAAATGGGATGTCGGGGGCCATGCACGCCTGAGGAGCACCTGCTTGTGGAACTATCAGTCATGACCGCATCAGTCAGTGAATGTCCGGGAAGTCCTTGAACCTGTTGGAATGCAGAAATCTCCGTGCAAGATCTTACCATAGTTTGACTGGGCGTACTATTGGGTGTAAAATAAAGCGGAGCTTGCGTGTTTACATGGAAGCCTGATGGACCATTGTGGCTCAGGAAATGGAGAAGGCTGGAGCAGTAGGCAGTTATCGCAACCTCGTCCTACTGATTCACACAACTGGTCCTATAAAATCTGATTCAAGGAGACAAAAATAGTACGTGCGCTATAGACCACGATACGCATCATCGTATGGCTCATTAGGCTGAGATCTTTCGACTATAATTCAGTTGGTCCACTGCTCTTGGACCTCTTTCTGTTCAGGTCTTGCAGGTTAAGCCATGGCCCGCTCAATCAGAGGCCGAGATCCGGCACGGGTTCACATCCCGGTCCGTATTACTTTACTTGGTCCTCTGCAAACCGTCTCCGTCGACGCTGCATTGTCTTCGCACGATAGCCAGCTGTTTGTGATAGTTAATCGTTGACAAATTGTGGGCGCCTTGGCTCCCAGTTTTCCATCGTGTTATTCTTCGTTTCTTTGATCATTATGATCGTAAGGCATCGAAGCATCAGTTCAAATGGATGATGTAAAACTGTTGTTGACGACTACTATTCTGCTTTATTGCTCCTTAGGTGTTTCTCTAGTAACTCATCATTTTCCATTTTGTTATTCAGATCAACATCCTTATCCATGCGAACATTGTGGTAAATTGTTCTCAGTTATGGGCAATTTGCGAAGACACCTCCAATGTGTTCATTCAGGTGAGTGTATTATTGAGGACTCCAATTTGCTTTGCTTTTGTGCCTTGTGTTATGTCGTATTTAGTGATAACACGTGGCTGTTGCGCTGCTTCGCCTGTGGTCTTGTGCTTTTTAGCCTACATCATCTGGCGTCCAATCCGGCCTCGAAATTCTGGTCTCGGTAGACTGTGTGTATTCTGTGAGAAGAACGGTTCTGTTAGCAGATCAACCACATATTCCAGTTTTAGGTACAGTGGTCCCCGCATCTTCGGCGTCCTTGTCTCAGCCAGTGCGAATGCATTCTGCTTGACTTGTTTGTGATATTTGGCTGTTTGTTCGCGTCAAGGCACAGCCCTCAATGCGCACGTGAGTTTGACAGTGACCCACACCGTAGCTATCCGCTCTCCATGCGTCCTGCATGAAGCTTGTCCACGCTATCGACACAGCCTAGGGTCGAGTTGCCTTGCGGAGGTATTCGCTCTGTTTGGCCACCTAATGGTTGCCTCGGTATACTCGTTCATTCTACCATTACCTGTCACTTTTTGTGTTTATTACACTGACGCACTTTGATTGTGCTAACTATCCGCAGAGGATGCGACTCATTTTAAAACGTTTGGCGTTTGTGATATCTAGATGCGACTTGTGCTTAGCCCTCTCGAGGTGTAAAACCCTGCTCCTGGATTATCCCACACCCATTCGCGTGTTCATCCTTATAGATGCACAGCTCGAACAGGTAGGTAGTTTGTCTATCTGAGGATCTGTGTTTCTGCCGGCTAACAGGTTGCTCCTTGCGTCTTCGAAACCCGGTTGGTGTTTGCCAATCAGAGACGCTTGTGGAGTCGTCGGCACGTCTCCTTTTGTGTCTCCTCTTTTTATTGCATAGATTCGAGTCCTTCCCAACTTACATGAATGTCATACGCATGTTATCCACCATCAACAGGTGGTGGTCGAATGGGAATAGTGACGCATAGCAGTTGATCCCAGGGCTCATTGCTAGCAGGTCGTTTGTGCACGAGGTCTTGCTACACTGGCTTACCCTTGCCCCTGATCCTCTTCATCCTACTTACTTTGATTTTCTCAGTGCTATCGCACATTCAGTGTCCATTTTGCACAACGGTCTTGTTCTCGTGTCATGTTGCAACTTCTTCATAGTCAGTATTATCCATCAGGTGCACTCAGTGGCATTGAGCCATACGATGACGGATAGGTTTGCAGAAATACTACGAGGCCTCCGTTCTGACTTGTGCCTCACGACGGAGGGCCGAAATCATTTGACGCCACATTCTGTGAACTCTAACGAACGTCGGTTGGTGGGTCATTTTCGTACTGCGGGCCCCGATTCCCTTGCACTTGCACTATTTACTGTTGGCGGCGAGGTTCATTGCGAAGCATTGACCTCTGCTCAGCCAAGACTGGAAGGAGGAGATCATTCCGGCTAACTGGACTGAATAGTGACAATATACAAGAACGGAAGCTGCACTGATTGTGCTAACTACAGAGTTATTTGCCTAACGCCGGTAGTGATAAAATTATTGGCCTCTATTCTCGTTCGTCACCTCACTGTGGAACAGGAATCCCGGATTTGAGAAGAGGAAGCAAGATTCTGCCAAGGATGTGGTTGTGTATAGACCACATATTCACTCTTCAGCTGGTGCTAGAGCTGCACCACACGTACTGCTGACCGACAATAACTGTGGTCCGCGAGTGCGTTCCATTTGGTCGGAACACTTGTACATGAAGGTGTTCCCATGAAATGTGGAACATTTTACCTGCTCTGTACTCGATCACCACAGGCTGCGTCAGATTCCGCGGTGACTTGTCCGATGCTTTTCCGATAACAAGTGGCATTCGTCAGAGTTGTCCAGTTTCGCCAGATGTATGGCCAAGGCGATGTTAGGAGACGGGTGATATAACGTCGATTTAAGTGAACGATTGGTCGCATGTAGTCGAGTGCGGTTGATACGATAGTTTCGAACATTCTGATGCGTGCAGTGTCACTGCGAATTATCCAGCGAAGATAGGTTGAAGCGGTACTCCGTCCTGTAGTTAGTGCATTTGTGACGAAAGGAGACCAGAATAGTAGAGTGTACTTTGGGTGACTTATTGGAATGTACATCTAGCTCCGAGATGGCACGGGACAGCTAATCGGACGCGGACGGAGCATACTCTATTACGGGTTTCACCCGGTGTAGTTACCCGTCTGTACCTTCTCCGAAATTCTTGCATCGTTTCACTATTTGCTTTCGAAAGACAATCACGCCAGAATTTTTAGCGCCTTAACATGGACACCATGTAGCCTAGCTCTTAGTTTTCTCTCTGTGGGATGCGATTATCGCATGTTAGCCTTCATCGTTTCTAATGATCAGTAGGGGTTGGGGTGTGAATTAAGATGTAATTTGTCACAGTTTCCTCTCAGTCAGCATTCTCCGACACGCCTGGAAAAGTACCAACCAGCGCTTTTTCGACATTCTGGGCCTCGCCTGTGGTGTGCGTTCCTCCGACGTCTTCCGGGATCCGACCCCATGACTTCCGTATGCCAGCAGCTTGTGCCACTAAACCATGTGTGACGGCCGCCTAGCTGCGTGCCTTACAGTTGACTACGATATAGCGCGGCTCATTCTCCACTGCCATGCCAGTTACGAACTGTGCAGTGATTGGCCCCAGGAGCTGCGACCTTCCGCGTAGCGAATGTGTACGACACAGCACTTAAAAGCTATACGGACGGATTTTTATTACTAATGAGTAGTGGGGATTTGGGTGTTCATTGTTTCGCATGGCAAATGCTCGAGTTTATTGGTTGCTACGGAGGTCTTTGTGTACCATATCTTGGGTGCACCCATTCTAACAAATCACGCACTATTCTATGTGCCTTCACTTCGTGATTCATGTGCATTTAATCGCCTTCTGATTCACTATCATGATCAGTGCCCCTATGTGTGTGAGCGCTGCGACAGATCTTTTATTGAGATGAAGGATTTACGATAACACGTCAAATTTGTCCATTGCTGGTACCACTTCGCCGTCCGTGACAAGGCGACTGGACCTTAACGTGGTACGACAGTTTGCGTGCCTCGTCAACCCATTGAGTTATACTAGATGAGGCCTCCGGCCACATTGGTAGCTACTCTTACCAAGTTGGTCTATGGTTAGAGGTCAGACAAACACAGTCTCCTTTTCCTCCAGAGAATGGGTTTAAAATGGGATGGCATGCATCTCTGTAAAACTAAATCACTTCCACCTCGACTTCAAAAGTGCGTTTGATTCAGTAACTCTATGCATTTTGTTGGAAATACTTGCACGAAAAGATTTTCCCCCGAAATATGGGCATATTTTACGTGATCTACACTCGAATACTGCAGGCCATCTCAGGGTCTACAGTGACTTGTCGGATGGCTTTCCGACAACAAGTGATGTTCGTCAGAGTTATCCAGTTTCCCCATTTTTGTTCAATTTCAGCGTGGACTCCATTACGGATTGTTCCCTTACGGAATATCACCATTTAGGCTTTGAGGTCCTGCCTGGTGAAAGGTTAGTAGATCTTGATTATGCGGACGATATCGTCTTACTTTTTGACGATGTTGGGGCGGCCCAGTCAACCCTGAATAGTCTGCCTTGAGTGGTCCCATTATTTGCTATGAGCCTCGTACCTTCGAAGTGCAGTGTTGCCGCAGGACCACTAGCCACTTACTGATCCCTTAATCCTTGACAACGAGAAACTCGAGCTGGTTGGTCGGTCCACTTACCTTGGCAGCTGCATCAGCAACGATGGGCACATAGAACCTGAAGTCAGTTCACGCATTGCGAAAGCCAGAACTGCCTTCTTGAACCTGCGGCATCTTTGCCGACAGAAGGGGGTTTCTCTACGTCTGAAAGACCTTGTATGCAAGGCCACAGTGAGGACCATCCTGCTATATGGTTGTGAGACTTAGCCCTTTCGGTCTGAAGATTTGAGGCGCTTTCAAGTCTTTGGTCACCGTTGCCTGCTAGGCGAGGACTAGGTAGTGATAACAAGCTAATTTCTTAGAGCAGCAGGTAGCACTGGATAAGTTGCGTTGGCTTGGGCACGTACTACTATACCCGTTCATCGCTTACCTAGGAAGGCCTTGTTCAGTCTACCAGGTGTAGGGTGGCGCAAAGCTCGAGATGGACAGAAGTTGACTTGGCAGGGTGAAATGAAATCACTGACGACCAAACTGGGTGCCGTTGGTCTATCTCGCCTTCCACGCTGGAGTCCACTTGACCCGCCTTGTGCTTGGCTCGAGACTTTACAGGACATGGCGCGACCGACTCCAGTCTGCTGCTGTCTCCTAGTCGGACTGCCTGTTTAAATGTGTTTGGTGCTGAGTTATCTGTGGGGTAATAGCTGATTATGACGTGGAGCAGTGAAAACCGCAAGACATGGACAAAGTATCACATCAGCTTTGTATGGAACGAAGAATCTTAAACTTATTGAATACACTGCCAGAAGGATTAATAGAAGCCGATTCTGTGAGGTGTTTTAATGCACGTTTCGACGATTATTTCGAAAAGCTGTACTTTCGTGAAACGATGCACATACAATGCCAAAAGAAGACATCGTATACTCGGAAATAATGACACCAATACGAATTCCTAACCGAACAACGATAAACGATTAACTGACCAAACATAACCGCTAACGATTCATAACTAAATGTTTTTGATTTTTCATACTTTTCTACCTGCTCTTCAATACAGTCTCAGTCTCAGGCAGCTGCCTAAGTGATGCCGCTTTATCTATGCACGATAGCCAGCTGTTTGTGACAGTATGTTGTTAACCCAAAGTATAGGCATCCTGATCCTGAATGTTTGCTTAGGGCATTAAGGTATTCCGCTAAGGTCTCTTCTCTCCGTCTTATTATTCTTTATTCCATAGGACTTAATGGTTGTGTGGCAACGAAGCATCCCTTGAAATAGCTGATGTACTGCTGCTGTTGTTGATTGATTGCTTTGTTGATTGCAGCACTTCCATGTTGCACAAGCCGGCTAGCCAATTCGTCGCAGACACTGTTGATGGAACCCCCACACATATATGACATGTTTCCGGTACATCGTCCATGTTTTGCTGCCTCAAAGAAGAACTGACAGCACCATAAATCTGTATACCATCAGCTTCGTTCCAGCGGTAAGGCTGTGATTTTTACTAGCATGCTTTTCCAACTTCCCAAACGCAGCAGCAGCTTTTGATACGCGGATTCGTAGTTCGCTCATCATCTGCAAATCTGCCAAAAGTACGCCACCCAGTTAGCAAAATCTCGAAGTGGTATCCAAGATGTCATCACAGATATGGATTGGCGGCAAACATAAGGATCTCATTATTGGTGTTGGCTGAAAACGACAAACAGTCTTGCTTGTGTTGATCATGAGTCCGACCTTAGCAGCTGTCGAAGCGAGAGCCGAAGTCAAGTGTCGTGACTTATCCGCGCTGTGTGCAAACAACGCACAGTCGTCAGCAAACCTCAACATCCGGATGGTTGTCTCACCCACCATAGTTCTCGTCACCGTCAACACGGTGCTCCACACAAACACCGTGATCACAAGCAGTGTCGAAAGCCCATAACATCATGGTATGAAGATAAATATTAAACAAAGCAGGAGCTAAAACACAGCCTTGTTTCACACCAGAGACAACAGCAGAATCTTTCCAGGTTTGTTCACTCAGATACACCCTCACCCGCATACCACTTAAACTTAGGGACTTACTCGGACAACAAAATTAACCTAAAACCAGCTGCACTGCCTCGCGGTTCACCGTAATAAATACCTTGGTGAAATCAACAAACAGTGAGTACAATGGCTGGTGTCGCTCTTGGCACATCTCGAGTCGCGAACACCATATCGATGGTGCAGGAAGTCTAAAGGAATCCCCGTAGCTCTACTCCACGTCCCATTCAGTGATCTGAGTAACCAGGCCGTTCAGCAGGATCGGGTGATCACCTTGCGCACACAACTCAGCAAGTTGACGCCACTATACTATGTGGCGCATTGCTTGCTCGTTTGCCCCTTTTACTTTGGTAGCACAAAAGCATCTTCCAGCTCAGCCGGCACCTCCTCCTCAATCCACACGGGTTTAATCAACTGGTGCAGCTCGTTTACCAACGCCGGTCCGCCGTGTTTCAATACTTCAGGCGGTTTCGTGTCGACGTCGGCACATTAGCCATTTCGCAGTTAAGCAAGTGCACTCTGCGTCTCAAGCACTGTCGATGTGTCGGCAAGACACATATTCATCTCTTATTTTTGCAGCTCGTGCGACTTTGACAAGTCAAACGCTGAATGGTAGTTCAAAAGACAGTGGAAGTCATTTCGTAGGATCTGCATTATTTCTGCACTCTGTGTGGAGGCAGCGCCTGAAGTAGTATCCACCAGCGTCCTCAGTGTCTGCAGTATGGGTCCATACACCGGCTTCAAGGAGTCAAAGAATTCCTTGTGTTAGCGGCGTTGGGCGTAGCATCTCATCTGTTTCGCGTTCTCCGTCCACCATGCATTCTTGATGCGACGGAGCTTTCGAGTTAATCGCCGTGTGCCAATATGAATCTGCTTCTCGTAATTAGCACGGTGCGCCACACGTGCAGCGAACGCTGCATTCTTCGCCAACACCAATTGGCCAATGGTCGCACTGTTGTCAACAAACCAATCGGATCGCGTACAGTTTGCAGGCCGATGGTTTCTTCGGCAGCAGCCGTCATCTGCTCACGAACGTGGTGCCACAGGTCCCTCTCTGTGGCTATTCATTCCACATCACACAGGTATGCAGCCTTCGCCTTCTCCGGCTCACTACGTTTGTCCACAGTCCATGGCAGAACATGTTAAATTTACGCCTTCAGTTTACGGGGGGGGGAACACACAGTACGTACTTGTCCTCACGGAAATATGCTCTTCGGTCCCCAATAATTTGTTGTCAGTGCCTCACTGAGCTCCAAGCAGTGCACGTGCCATGCGCACTTCGCGCAGACGTGCGATGATGTGAGCGTGACCACTCCGTGGGTGCGTCTGATTAGCTGTGCACACAGTTCACACACACACACACGCACACAGTCCTTTATCGTCAAGCCGTGAGTCAAGCACAATGAAAGCAACCGGTCTCCGTTCCTATTAGCTTTGCCAATACGATGAGGACCGATGACGTCTGTCCACGCCGACGCATCACGCCCAACGCGCGCGTTGAAATTACCCTGCAAAAATAATCGATCGCTGCTCGGTACAGACCGTATCACGGACTGCTAAACTGGTCCCTCGTGTTATCAGTAAGACACATGGTTAGACCATACGTGCTAATAAAAGTGGCAAACGTACCTCTGCCGAGTTGTTGGTGAACAGTCATCGGTCGCACGCTGATGCAATTGGGTTCACCAACTAACTAGCCATTTAGACGATCGGATAGTGGAATATCCGACCCCATGTCCACTTGGTGTTGTGCTGGCGTTTCGCAACCAGTAAAACGTGTAATCCACACTAACCTCACGCAGCTTCCCTTGCGCAAGGAGCATGTCTTGCTGACTGCTGCAGTGCAGATCCCTTAGCGCGCGCGTTCAATCGCGACCAGTGCAGTGCATCGCTCGAGACGCTCACCTAGCATTTTGTTGCTGAAGTGGACTAGCTACGAGCCTTCACATATTTACCGTAGTCTATACAGTATAAGTCGTTCCATTGAGTAGCCATGGAGTGAATCTATACAATGTGTGCAAAGATCGAGAAAACTGGAAATACACAAAGGGAATTTTTTGTGTTTTTCACGCTGCGTTTTGTCTTTTTGTGAGCTTAGTGATGACGGTGTTGACCGGTGGAATCATTGCGGAGATTCATGCAAGTGTTCTATTGTCTACGACTACGCGCCATGTTCTCAATACTCTTCTACTAGCGATATCTTCATTTCTGACTCCTCAGCCTGGAAGCCGCGCGGGTCCGAAAACAGCTATAATGGAAGCCAGCGCCTTGATGGGTTGTAGCCATAAGGAAGGTTCGCCACTGCGCGATTTCTTCCTATGCGACCCTGCGCGAGCGAATAGAGCGCGCCATGGTAAACGCTCACTTCGCACGCGTAAGACGTGACCTAGCCACCTCCATTGGCGCAGCGATATTAGCTTGTCGACGCGACATTTAACAACGATGTTGCAGACGAGGTGTTCCCACCACACATGAGCTATCCTGTGCAGGCAGCCGTTGTCAAAGGCCAAAGTTCGACGCAAATTATTTGCAAGGATCGGCCAGGACTCGCTTCCATACAACAAGACCGCGCAAACACAGGCATTATAGACCCTGCCTTTTACCGCGAGTGTAACGTCCCGGCGACGTCACAGATGTCTCAGATCAGAGAAATTTGGTCGGGTTTTCACAATACAGAGAGAAATCTCTCCCAGTGGTGCCACCAGAAGAAACGCAACTCCCAAGATAGGTGAAGCTGTCTACTTGTTCAAATTGCGCGCCTTCAGAAATCAGAAAGGGAGTAAATGGTTGCCATTTCTGGAGTAGGATCTTGTATTTCAATGAAGCGAGGGTCATGCCGTACCTGGTGGCTTCATTCACCAAGCGGTTTAGAGCGACTTGCTTGATCTGTGGGTCGTCACCGCGCGAAGCAATATCATCAGCATGGTCCAAGTCATTCGCGCAGTTGCCTGGGAGAAACTCTACGCCGGAACCCTGGGCACCTTCCAGAACGCTTAATAGGACATGTTTAATTGCATGGGGTATCCCTGTCGCAAATATCTGGTAACGGCGTAAGGTGAAGAGAGCTTACCATGAGCCCTCATTCCGCCAGAGACCTTGTTTTATGAAGCTCAAAGTATGGCGGTATACTTTTCGGGTACCCCATTCCTTTGCAGAGAACGCCATCGAGCAGAACGGTTAACCGAATGGGACGCAGATCTGATGTCCAAAATGGCGGCAATGGTAGGCTGGGGATAAAGGTGGCGCTGTTCCATGAGTTGGCGAAGCGTAAACCTATGGTCCCCACACCCTCGACCGATGCGGAAACCAACCTGCTTCTCACGGGAGTGTAGTTATCGAATCGGTGTTAACCTGCACAGTGAAGCGGTTATACTTAGTATGCACACTTCGATCGGAAGGCAAATGGTCGTATTCCATTGGATGCATGATGGTAAGTAGGAAGATGATCTCAATCTCTTTAGGAGGATAGAATTCATACTCACTACTACGGAACCATAGTTGGTTGCACACGCGGCATTGTGCTTCGATAGCTCGTATGAGGCGTTTTTGCTCTGCGATGCGCGTTTACTTGTTTCATAAATACGGTCACTGTCGAAATGTTCGTCTGCCGTCAGTAAGGGAACTGTTTTTCATGCACTCCGTAGGATAGACGGATTTTTGATGCTCGTTGCCTTCTCGCTCATTATCTACCGAAATCGGTCTCACCGGCACAGTTATCCGGCTGCGCCGTAACGTATTTTGCGTCTGCCATTGAGTAATTACATGGCTTAACTTGCTTTCTACCTTATGTTCTTTTCACCGCAGGAATGAACCAGGTTGTCAGTTTCTTCTCGTTGTAACGATGGCAGAACCAGGTCGTTTGCTAACAATAAATTACAAGCAATGAATCGCTTATTTTCCTCTTTTGTTTCACATAATTTGCCACCGTTTCTGATCTTAAACCCACTAGTTTGATGGTTGATATTGGGGCCTCCGTAAGCTATCATTTGCATATTCGCTATCTAATAGACCGCCTCTTTTTCTATTGCTCTTTTCCAAGTTTGTTTCACATGCAACCGTTCACTTTTGTTTTCTATTCCAGATCCACGCCCGTTTAAATGTGAGCAGTGTAGGGCATCGTATACTCAGTATGGCAGTTTGCAAAGGCATATCAGATCTTCTCATTTTGGTGAGTCTACATCTGGAAACCTTGTCTTAACCCAATTTTACCACTTGTTTACACTTTCCTTCTTATCATCACGTAGCCTCGATATTATCACTTACGCTGCTTACAACGTCTCTTTGTTTTATCACTTTTATTAACCTAATGTCTTCTCTGCAGAGTACCCAATTTTCCTCATCAACCCTCCGTGATGTGAAACGACTGCGCCCTTTTGCATCGCCAAAACGAAACACAGCAACACACGCTGTTTAGGCCGTACACCCTGCCATCTTTAACGTTGTCAGCTGCAGTCTGTAGTGTTTTTCGTTGGCTTTGTCTGTCATTTTGCCTAAGTTGACAACCGACGCTAGTTATCAATCGTTCACTTCTTACCTAACACCATCTCCTTTGGTATGGCTATTTTACAAGTGTGATTCATTTTCTGGTTTTTTTTATATATATGTGCAGAAGTACGCCCTCTAGTATGTGAACGATGTGAACATTGCGATGCGTCGTTTACTGTGAAAGGCAGTTTGCGAAGACACATCAAGTCTTGTCATCCGAGTGAGTGGTAAACAGAAAACTTCATTTTCTTCTTATGCTTCGTCCGTGTTACTCCTAACTGCTCTTTGTGTTATTGCTCGTGTTACCGAAAGGTATCTTGTGCAGTGTGATCCATTTTGCTTACCAAATGTCGTGATGTGAAATGATTGCTTCGGAACGAGTCACAACATCACACAATGGTAATCTGTACATCTCGCCGAATTCAACGTTGTCAGCCGTGGTCGGTAGCATCTTCGTTGGATTTAACTGTTTCATGACCTCGCGAGCAGCCGTAAGGCACCCATATGTAGTGCATATCTGTTAGGATGGGACGTGGAGTCATATGTGTGTGTGTGTGTGTGTTATCCGACTCCCGCTCTCATTTGACATTCATGTCATTGACGTGCATAGGGCCGAATCATGGCTGATACCAAGTAACATGATGAAGCTGGTCTGGAAGAAGCATCCTCACCAAAACTGCACCCAGGTTCCGTCTATTTGTGTACAGCCGCTTCCGTAATACCTTCGTTATAGTGATGTTGGTGTACCGAATCATGTTGTATTGAATTCTCGTGGTTGTTATACTCCGATTACCTCTCTCAGATAGTTAATGGTGGTCAGAATTGCTCTTTTCGACCAAATATGACATCGATAACTTCATGTATAGCCACCGATTGCTCTATGCATCTTTTCGGCTGGGAACTGACCGAAGTAGCATGCAGATAACTGAAATCGCCTGAAGATATGTCCTGCAACCGAACTCAGACTAATCTTCGCTGTTTAGTGTTACGTCTATTAAGTACGACAGAGAAAGCGGAACAACGTGCAACGGATTCCTTGGTTTTGTTGCCTCATGAAGTTTCCTCTAAACATCACTAGTCTCCCCCTTACAGGAGTATTTCCTGCATTCCTCTTTTCATATTGAATCGCGTCGATGGTAGTGCTGTTGTTACTGTGCCAATCTGCCTGTCTGCAGTTGGCGCACACGGCCATCTCTCCATCAGCAATCATCAAGCGCTGTCTTAGTTGACATCACAAACCACTGATTGGATCAATGGAGCTGGCACGACCAGTCTACTTCACCTTTCTATGTTGCTAAATTTTATCTAGTCTACAGCCGTTGAGTGTTATATCAGCTGTTTCACTTCGTATTCGGTTGCTGGATTGGGTTAAAGCAACCGAAACCTATCTGCGGATAGTTGTGTCCCTTGTAAGTGTTCACATAGTGTGAGGGGAAGGTTGTTATCCTCAATTGCCGGTTAAGATCACTGCACACGAGACCGATGACTCCTCTGTTATCAGTTATGAGTGCAGTTGGACAGACAGACTCACTCCAGATTGTTCGTATCCTCTGCTGTTTTGGTTACGATTGTTCTAGGGAAGGAAGCCTCCACTTCTGAGATTTCCGCAACAATACGCCGTACTGAATTCAATTGACTTTACAATCAAGCATAGACAACTTCCAAACGTGTATCCGACAAATAAGTAATGGCGTCATCAATGACCTATCCAATGATGCGAATTCGGAGTGCTTTGGCTTACAGAAGCAGAGGTTAGGCGCACCTTGCGTCCAAGAACATACGTTGTTTTACTATTACTGATATTACGATTACTTTTCAAACAATTCTCGCATTTGTGCTTCCTTTCTACTATGTTGTAGCAGTTGGATACTCAGCTTCAAATCATGACACAATTGCACAAGTGTAGCTGTCCATAAGAAACAACTATAATATATATTTATATAATATACAAAATATTTCATACAATATCTTACTCTTTTCAGACACACACCCACAGACGGAAAGTAACTGAATCCATGGATATGCCAGCATCTCGCTGTGGAAAACCCCCTCTCTTTGCATTTGATCTACACCACGAATTTCGATATTACTTTTTATGCATTTGTATCTTTGCACTTAATTTTATCTCGTGCCTATAATAAACTCCATTGACAAGTGTGCGTCAATCGTTTTATGGAAATATTGGGTCGTTGCTTGACACGGGCTGAGGGTTCTGAAGAATTGCATCTCTTGTAGGATGGTCAAATTGCAGTACAAGCTCAACGATAAAAGCTGGTAACAAGTTAGACAGTGCATCTGCAGATTTCCTATGCATATATATATATATATATATATATATATATATATATATATATATATATATATATATGGTTGGCGGCATGCGGTTTCGGATTTGCCTGTCACTGTGGCTAGCCACAGGGCGCCTACACCTACAGAGGGACCATGGATGGCTTGCGCTGCACCACCCACAGCTCCAACCACACACCCCATATCCAGTGTAAACCCGAAGGAATAAGACCGGGAGGTATGTGGATGGGAACCACGTTTCATCAACGGAGTCGGCCCACACTCCTTCACAGGCAAACACAAGCACGCTGTATTTGGGGAATCAACCACACACAAGGCGGTGGCTGGACCGTAGTCCGCTCCACACTGAGTGCATGGAACCACTCTTTGATCCTAACACGGCCACAAGGACCGTGCACCCCGTCCCCTCCAGCAACGACCAACTGTCTCCTAGAGCCAGTATGGACGAGGTAGTGGGTAATAGACAGTTAGGCACCTTATCAACATGCACATCAAGCGCAGCCACACCGGGGATATCAAACAACAGCCAATCACTTGAGAGAGAAAGGGAGAGAGAAAAAGAGAAAAACTCGATTAATGCATAAGAAAACGATGACATAAACCTTACTTTAATGAGAATATGTAATAGGTTGTTTACAAACAAATCCTAGATAAGTGCACGAGGTCAGCAAGTATAGTTCACGGAATGCCACGAACACAAAAATGTTATGAAAATCGAGTACAATTGGCTTAAGCGAGGTGTGCATGTTAATGGAATAGAGTACAGGGAGATATTTATATGAGATAGAAAAGCATTAAGGTAAAAACTGTAAACCCACCACCTGAAATAAAGAGACTTAGCATGCAAGCACGCGGTTAGTAAATCGAATTCAGCGTGCCTACAAACGCTGCGCCGGCTCGCCGTAATTCTCTGCAGGACCCGTCGTCGCTTCTATAGTGGCCCTAAAGGGCATTGCTCAAGGCTCACTAGACATTTATATGAGAAAGAGAGGCATCAGGAGAGAACCGGAAACCCACCACCTGAAATAAAGAGGCTTAGCATGCAAGCACGCAGTTAGTAAATCGAATTCAGCGTGCCTACAAACGCTGCGCCGGTGCTGCCTACGTTCACTGCGGGACCCGTCGTCGCTTCGGCAGTGGTCCCGAGTGACCTCTCTCATGGCTCACTGGGCCTGCCTGACCAAGGCACTCGCGACCGCATGTTCTACAGCACCATGCGCTCGATGTCGATGGAGTACAATTCATTGGTGCTTGCCGCTTCTTCTCTGCATGCATGAGGGCTTTCTCCCGCACTTCAGCAACTGCCTTCGTGATTAGATCGCGCCATGCACGCCGATCAACCACCTTCGATTCCCATGATCTGCAATCAAGATTAGAACGTGTGAGGCTCACTTTGATCATGTCCTGGTAACGTAACTTTGGTTTCCCAGCATGCCGCTTCCCTATACTCAGCTGACCGTATAATAGTTGTTTCGGTATCCGAGTCGAATCCATACGGCTCACATGACCGAGCCATCTCAGGTGTCTCAATAATAGTATGCCGTCCACTGCATACATCCCACTTCGGCGCAAAACTTCCGTGTCTGCAACTCTGTCGCCCCAGCCGATCCGCAAAATTCGTCGCAGACACTGCTAATGGAACCGCTCGAGATATCGCACATCCCGACGGTACATCGTCCACGTTTCACTGCCGTATAGAAGAACGGACAGTACCATGAATTTGTACACTATCAGCTTTGTGCCAATGCTAAGCTGATGGTTGTTCCACACTCGGTACTCAAGCTTCCCGAATGCCGCTGCCGCCTTCGACACGCGAATACGCAACTCAACGTGTAGCTGCTGATCAGTCGACATCACACTCCCAAGGTAGCTGAAACGGGAGGTGGTTTCCAATACTTCAGCACCAATGCTGATTCGTGGCAATATTAAAGATTGCACCTCCGGTGAAGGCTGAAAGAGATAGACAATTTTGCTCGTGTTGATGGTGAGCCCGAACTTGGCCGCTGTCGAAGCCAGAGCACTAGTCATATGCTGCAACTCATCCGCGCTGTGTGAAAACAACGCACAGCTGTCAGCAAACAGAAACATACGGATAGTTGTCTCACAGACTAGAGTTCTCGCACCGAAACGACGGATGTTCAGCAACCCACCATCAATACGGTGCTCCACACGAACACCGTAAACACAAGCGACATCAAAAGCACAAGATAACATTGCATGAAGATATATATTAAACAGAGCAGGAGCTAAGACACAGCCTTGCTTCACACCAGAGACAACTGCAAAGTCATCCGAGGTCTCTCCACTCAGCTGCACCCTCGCTCGCATACCACTGTGCAGACATTCGATTGAAAGTACAAACTTTCGCGGGCAACCAAACTTACCCAACACCAGCCACAATGCCTCGCGGTTCACCGTATCAAATGCCTTGGTGAAATCAACAAAAAGCGAGTACAATGGCTGGTGTCGTTCTCTGCACTTCTCTTGCAACTGACGAGCCGCAAACACCATATCCATAGTGCTGCGACCCGAGCGGAATCCACATTGCTCTTCCGCCACGTTAGGTTCCACAACCTGACTCACGAGGCGATTGAGTAGGATCCGGGCAATCACCTTGGCCACACAACTCAGCAAGTTGATGCCACGATAATTCGTGCAACATTGCTTGCTACCTTTGCCCTTGTACGGTGGTAGCACAAGGGCATCCTTCAGCTCAGCAGGCACCTCCTCCTCAATCCACACGCGTTGCACCAAGTGGTGCAGCGCAGTCAACAACGCGGGTCCGCCGTGTTTCAATACTTCAGGCGGGATCCCGTCGGCTCCGGCACATTTGCCGTTTCGCAGCTGAGCAAGTGCTCTCTGCGTCTCATCCAGTGTCGGCGTATCCGCCAGCTCCGCCTTCACATCGTGCTGCCTCAGGCCGTTCAATGTAGGCCAGTCGATCTCTGAACGGTTGTTCAAGAGACAGTCAAAGTGTTTTCACCAGATCTGCAGTCTGGGTGCAGGTAGCGCCTGAACTACCATTGATCAGTGTCCTCAGCGGCTCAAATCTCGGTCCATACACCGCCTTCAAGGAGTCAAAGAATTCCTTGTGTTGACGGCGTTCGGCGTAGCATTCCATCTGCTTCGCCTTCTCCGTCCACCATGCATTTTTAATGCGACCGAGCTCTCGGGTCAGTCGCCGTCGAAGTTTGCGAAACGGACTCCTCTTTCCCAAGTCACTGGGGTCTGCAACATATGTAGCAAATGCTGCATTCTTCTCCGACACCAATGCGCCAATCGTCGCATTGTTCTTATCAAACCAATCAGGCCGCTTACAGTTTGCGCGCCCTTTTTGCGCGCTCCTCGGCAGCATCTGTCACCTGGTGGTGAATGTGGTGCCACAGGTCGCCCACTGTGGCTATGCAGTCCACATCACACAGGCGTGCAGCCATCGCCTTCTCCAGCTCAGTACGTTTTGCCACAGTACTGAGGGAGAGGATGTTAAATTTACGCCGATTCACGGCGGGAGTGCCATACATAGATTTACGAAAATATATGTATAATATGGTGCGCATCAATTTGTGATCAATGCCACACTCAGCTCCACGCAGTACACGTGTCATGCGCACTTCACGCGTATCACGCTGACGTACGATGACATAGTCGAGCAGGTGAGCGTGACCACTCCGTGGGTGCGTCCAAGTTGCTATCTCACTCGCACTCAGTGCAAACCGAGTGTTCGTGATCGTCAGGCCGTGAGTGGCACACAGTGAGGGCAGCCTGTCACTGTTCGCCTTCGCTGAACCAATGCCATGCGAACCGATAACATCTGTCCACGCTGATGCATCACGCCCAACGCGCGCGTTGAAATCACCCAGCAGAAATAGTCGGTCGCTCCTCGGCACAGACCGTATCACGAAGGATAGCTCAGTGTAGAACTGATCACGCGTGTCATCAGGATAACACATGGTCGGACCGTACGTGCTTATAAAAGTAGCAAACTTACCTCTTCTGAGTCGTAGGCGAACGGTCATCAGTCGCGCGCTGAATCCAGTTGGTTCACTCACCAGCTGGCCATGGAGGCGATCGGATATCGCAAATCCGACCCCATGTTCACGTGGTGCTGAGGCGACGTTGCCCACCCAGTAGAATGTGTAGCCAGCACCTGCTTCATGCAACTTACCTTGCTCAGCGAGCCGAGTTTCACTGAGCGCCGCAATATCGATTTTGTAGCGCGCCAGCTCCATCGCGACCAGTGCAGTGCGTCGCTCGGGGCGCTCGCTGGAGTTCCGGTCCAGTATTGTGCGTACGTTCCAGCACCCGATGCTGAGTGCTTTGCGCGCAGGCATACGATTGCATTGGTGGGCAATCGCACATATTAGTCATGAGAATGAGTGTAGCTACATTTCCCGTTGTTCATTTTTCCTACGGAACATAAGTGCACTTAAGAAAGGGAAGCTGTTATCTGGGTATTAGGCGGAAGGCCAAGACACTTGCTAAAATTTGAATTAATAATGACCGATCATCTGGATTGACTTGGAAATACGTTAGTTCAACTGTGATAGTACGGTAGTGCCTTAGTATATGTCATCGAAACAAAAATCAGCGCACCAAAACAATTGGTTTGTAGCGCAGAATGGCTCCAACCGAGACGTCTGATGCCAGATTGTTATTAAATAGCTTGTCGCCACAGTAGAGTATACAGCTACATCTGCCTACGGT